GATAATTTGAAGTCATGAATAGATAGTTGACTAATTTTTCGACACTTGAATTGATAAAACTAGAGTATGCAAATGACCTATGCATATTAGGATTGGGAATCCAATTTCATCTCTTGTATAACTTTGAAGATTTTAACGCAACCTGAATCACCAAAACAGAGCCTGTTCCGACTTCAGACAGACTTCAAAACCTCTCACTAAAATATTTACTACCGCCTTCGTCCATTCCGCCGCCGAGGTGCCGTCCCCGGCCCCTATGGACCCCTTAACCCTTCTCCGCGAGTACACCATCCGTAACTCCCTTGACCGGATCGTCCGTGTCAACAATGAATTTCGGTTCGGCTCGGATTACTCATTCCCAGCTACCATCGAGACCGCCTACCGCTCCAAGCACGCGCAGAACACGCGCCGCTACACGCTTGAGACCCTCGTCCACTTCGTCACCAACCACCACCTCAAGCACACCGACTACATCCAGAACGCTCGCGCTCTCCGCATCCCCGCCGTCACCCTCCCCGACCGGAAGCCCCTCCTCGACTACCTCACCGGAAAGGTCCAGTCTTCCGATGCTATAGTCCCCCTGGACTTCCCCAACATAAACCCCCAAATCGGTAACCTAGGCCCGAATCCGACGCACGATGCGGGTGATGCCGCTGGGGTTCCCGAGAGCGCGGCCACTAACCCAATCGAACTAATTAGGGCAAAGGAAAAGCCGATTAAAGACAGGGAGTCGATGCTGGTTTTTAGCAAGCGCGATTTTTACAGTGTGCTGACGTCAGCCACCAAACGTGACGAGGAGAGGCAGAGAATGGAGGCCTTGCAGAGGAAAGACAATATTGTTGCGAAGAACAGAATTGAGAGTCGAGGGTTTGGGTTGGGTGAGGAAGCCACCAAAATGAGGAAAATTGGGGAAGGTGTGCCGATCATCCTTGTCCCAAGCGCATTTTCAACTCTGATCACGATATACAATGTGAAGGAGTTTCTAGAGGATGGGGTTTTTATCCCCACGGATGTGAAGCTGAAGCAGATGAAAGGGGGAAAGCCCGATTGCGTGACTGTGCAGAAGAAGTTCAGTAGGGATCGTGTGGTAACAGCTTATGAGGTGAGGGATAAGCCATCGGCACTGAAAAGTGACGATTGGGATCGTGTGGTGGCGGTTTTCGTGCTCGGAAAGGAGTGGCAATTCAAAGAGTGGCCTTTCAAGGACCACGTTGAGATCTTTAACAAGAGTATGATTTTAATTTACTTGTTTTTTCTATATTCATACTGGAAACTCTGAATAGCTACATAATTCGATTTTATGAACACTGTTGATTATGTGCAATGGGTTATGGTTTTGTGAGGTTATTATTACTTGCCTGAACAAATTTTGTTAAGTCACTTTACGTATATGTGTGTGTAACTTGTCCGTTTCTTATGAAATCCGCTATCCTTACATCACCAAGGCTGTACATATGACGTGAGGGAAAATATTTCAATTTTATGGATCTTGTATGTTATTCAATTGTTTGCTTGATTGCTAGTTCTTATTCCTCTGTCTTATGCATCATTTATTAGTTCCATCCTTTTGTGTTTTTCATGGAGGAGAACAGTGTTAAGATGTGATATGACAAACTCTACACAACTAAGTGCTGGACATGAGACTGTTGGTGATTATATTTGTACTTGAGGTGTTGATCACAACTAGTTACTAAAACGTGCTTTGGTATTTACTGCAGTTCTGGGGTTTTACATGCGTTTTGAGGACGACAGTGTGGAATCAGCAAAAACTGTGAAGCAATGGAATGTGAAGATAATATCGGTCAGTTTCTAATATTTGTTGTTCAAGAATGCAATGTAAATTGCTCACAATTTGCGTGCAAGCCAATCAACTCTTATCTTTCATGAAACACATGCAATTTGATATCAATATATTATCTTTTCTGAAACATGTGCAATTTGACATTCAGATAAGCAAAAATAAGAGGCATCAGGACCGAGCTGCGGCTCTTGAGGTTTGGGACAAACTTGAAGAATTCATGCGGTCTCGATCTCGTTAGGGTGAGTCAAATCATGCTTCAGTCTGCTTGCATTTGTGAAAACTTGCGTTGGACCTATGGATATAATTTTATTTTCCCTAGCACAAATCGGTGGTTTCTTACCCTTTTCAGTTACTTGTATATAATTAGATTAGTATGCTCGTCTCTGGTGCATGTTCTTGCTTTTAACTAGCTTCTGCACACAAGACTGCAGTTAGAAGATAATGCCTTTTTTCGTTTATTTAAAATGAACTATTCTCCTTGTTTTATTTTGAATTCTTCTTTCCAATCTCTTTCAGCAAGAACTACTAATGTTTTGAGAGCTTCTGTTGAGATTAGGTGATACCAGAACAAATGACTATGTAATTGGAAATATGAAGTGACTCACGTTAAATGATTAAGTGGATGAGTTGGATGGGATAGAAATTGAGTTTCTAGCGAATGTGATTTAGCAAACACCTCATGCTTGTTTTACAATGTACTAAATTTAATGATGCTTTACTTTCTGTTTCCACAAGTATCGTAGTTCTTATCACCCTCCCTTGATTTCGGTTTATCTTACCTAGTAAATATGACCAATTTGATATTCTATTTTAATATTTTTGTGATTTGGGAGTTTACGTATTTGGTCTGTTGTCCCTGTGAGCATATTCTTTGAATGATAGGCCTAGGGAGTCGGCCAATTTTTCCATTCTGTTCCTCGTATTTCTGCCACATTTCTGTTCCTCGTATTTGTATGCTTTGTTATGAAATTATTACAATAAATGGAGGAAAAGAATATTCATTGTCTGGGCCCCTACATATGGAACCACATGTCTATTCTGCTGCTACAAAATTATTCTGCTCTCTGATCATTATATTTCTCGTTTTTGTATTTGGAATTAAACTGAGACATGTTGGTTTGCAAGTGCAGGAATCGAAACTATAAGTCGGGATGAGAGAATGTGGCCTTGCTTGTTGTGGACGCTTTTAGAATGAGAATTGCTGTGAGCGTTATGCGTAAGCTTGGTATATTTATGACCATTTGTCTAAATTCAACTGGTTTTATTCTGACACTGAATGAAAATGCTCGTGAGAGATGCACAGGCGTCCTTTGTTATTGTAATATCATTAGGATGAGGCTTAGTGCTGCTTTATGCATTCTTTCTGACTCCTAGACTCTGATTGTTTCTTAGCTCCAGTTTGTGTAAATTAGCAGCCTGCATTTTGATACATGTACTTTTAATACAAAACTTGGATTTTTTAAAACCCCATTAAAGAGATGGAATATGGTTGTTGTTTAAGATGCTGGATTTGACCTATGCTGACGTGCATAGATGTGGTTTGTCCTTTTTTTCTTTATTTTTGTTTCATTTTTGGCCGTCCATATGCCAGCAGTTTGAAGCATAGGCTACTAGATTTTCCTTGTGTTCTTGATGAAGTTGTCCTGTTATTCTTGCAACTTTGGATAACAGCTCGACCGGGTCTTAATCCTTCCCTATTCACTTGTGGGTTAGAGTAATTTTGTTTTATTTGTTGTTCCTTTCAATTGACTGAAAACATGTCTACGATCTTGTATAAACAATTATGAATTTCATGAGGATGAAAATTACTACAACTAGCAATCAACTTGTGCATTTACAGAGCGAAATACTTTAAAAAGATAACAATATAAAAAAAAAAACAAAATAATTCATAATTTAATTCATGAAAAAAATATGAAATAAGAAAATAATTTTCAAAATTGATTTTGATCAAGTAATTGTTATGGAAGAGTTGTTACAACCATTTTCTTTATGCTAATATATTCGGTCATTTTCATGAGTGGGTGTGACTTAAAATTTGAGTACAATTTTGTAACTCCCTTGATTGGTTTATGCTCATAATTTATGGCGTTAAAGCAAGTTATTTTGTAACTTAAAATTAAATTGAATGTTGAAAATTTTGGAGGGATAATAAAATTTATGCATGATAATATAATTAAATGCTATGTTGATCATCTTTATATATATATATATATATATATATATATATAGGGTTGGGTTCACATGAGAATGGTACTCAGTGAAAGAAATGAGAATAGATCACAACCATTAGATTGGATGATCTATTGGCTGAAAAAAAGTCAAAATTATACCATCATTAAGGGTATTATGGACATTTACTCACAATTCAATTATACACCACACTAATGGGCCCACTTCAATTTAACCGTCCACTTACCCAAACCCGCGGTCAACCACGTCACAATCCCTCTCTCTCACACAATCTGTCTCTCTCACACACAGTCTGACTCTCTCTCACACACTCACATTACATACACAGTAAATACACACCTAGTCACGCCCGCGACACACACACTACACAAACTCGCCGCCGGAACACACACACACTCGCCGGCGAAACCTGCAGCCATCTCATGCTGCCGTCGTCGTCACGACGCTTCTGCAAATTCCGATCGTTTCGACCTCCGCCCGCCAGTGCCAGCCGATTCCGTCCAAGAAGACCACCACTCGCCGCCGAATGAAGAAGGCACTAATCGATCTCCGGCAGCAACGCGCATTGGGCTCGACGTCTTTGAGCCGCCGCGTCTTTGTTTTTTTCCGAGGTGTCCGATTCCCCAGGACGTCGAATCAGTCGCAGGCGTTGAGGAACGGCGGCAAACCGTCGAAATCCACTGTCGTTTTGCGGCTGGGAGGGAGCAGTCGCCGGTTCCGGCATAAGAGACGGACTGAAAACGGTTTTGGAGATGGGGGCATTATTTTGGAAATTTGATAAATCCCAAGGACGGATTTGCAATTTTAGAAGTTTTATATAATCACACATAAACCCCTGGGGTCAATCTGTAATTTCAAAAAGGTTTAACTATATTACTATTTAATTCATGGGTCAAATCTGTAATTTACAGAAAATATATAAAAACATATTATTTTCTATATGTTTTTATGCATATTGAGTTTATGTATTTTAAACCAAAAACAATATAAAGTATTAAGTAAATATATTAAAATATAATATATATTTTTATAATATAATTAATAAATTAATTTAACCAACCAAAAAACAAAATTATTTCAATACACATAAAAAAAAATCACAATGCATAATACACAATATAGTAATTAAGATGCACATTAATGAATATCAGACTGCACACTAATGATATATCAAATGCACAGTAACGTATTTATTAATGCACATTATTATAACAGTGTATTCCACACAACGAAATCGCATGAAAAAAAATATGTTATGCTAGTGTGCATTTTTCACATATATAAAAAAATTGTATTAGTTTGATTCGAGTTGTATCTATTTAAAAAAAATAGTAATATATCTACAAAAACGTAATATGCGAACCGACCAAACTATATGAAACTATTATTATTTATATTTTATCTATATATGTGTATTATTTATTTTCAACAAACAATGATATATAATAGTAAATAAAAATTATAATAATAAATATATTTTTATTATATAAGTAATATGACAAATATGAATTAATGTTGATTGACATACACAATATTAAAGCTTTAAAATTGAAAATCCACATAAAATAACCGATCAATAGATTGCACAATAACATGAAAAGGAATGCACACAATTGTTAAATGGGTTGCACATTAGTGAACGTAAGATTTCACGTTATCGATCTGAAATATAAAGTTTCAAATTGAACTATATAAANGGATGTCAAATATATTTTTTTTTTGTTTGTAATCGAAATAACCAAACGAACAAACTGTATAAGAATATTATTATTGTTACTATTATTATATTTTTATGCTCTGAAATTGCACAATTACGTTAAACGAAATGTACTTTAATGACTAATTGATTGCACAATATGGACCAAACTCAACGAAGTTAAAATTTCCAGTAGATGTTTGATGTGCATTTAGTATTTTTTTTATATGGTTTTCAGATTTACTATGGACTAAATTATAAAGACATATTAAATTTTTAAAAATTGCACAAAGGCCCCTATACAATGTGTAATTCACAAAAATCCAACCTAAATGTCCCCCCAATACACAGCCAGATCCGGTCGTCTGAACCATTGTCGAGCCGCCGCCTGCCGTCTCAGCACAACACCACCCGTGACGACGGCAACCACCAGCAGCCGCCGGTCATGACCCGTCGGACTATGGCCGAATAGGCCCCAAATTACAATCCCTAAAAAATCCCCCAATTCTCACCATTGCCAACTCCCCGCCGCCCGGAGTCCACATCAGCCCGCCCCCACCGCCGCCAGCCTTCTAGGACCACATCGCCGCCGCCGATGACAACAACGGCAGACGACAACAGCCGCGACAACGACACCAAGTCAGTCCGGTTGATTGCCGTCACCTTCTCCATCTCTCACCGGAATGGTGTCGCCGTGGCGGAGGACTTGTGTCGGCGGTGGTGGATTTAATTGTTGGGGGCTCGAGCAGACTCCGACGCCGGCGGAGGGTATAGATGCATCTGTGACAACGGCGGATCTACACAGACGATGGTTGGTTTCTGCCGGAGCATCCTTGGTCGCGTCCGTCTCCGGCGATGGGCTGTGAAGGCGTTGCGGCGGTTTGCAGAATCGCGGCGGCGGTGCTCCGCTGCTGAGGAGGCGACGGTCGGCTTCTGCGTGTGTGAGTGGAGAATTGTGTGTGTGTATGTGTGTGAAGAAGGTGATTCACGGGGTAGGTGAAGAGGTGTAGGGTTAATGTGTAAGGTGGTGGGTCCCATGGTGTTTTGATTCAATTGTCTAAATTATCCTTAATTAGTGGTAAAATCTATATATTTGACCATCATAAATCTTCTTATTTACCAAATTGCCATTAATGATTGACCATTAATTATTAAAATTTGACTTGATCACTACCATTGATATATGATATATCTAATGGTTCAGATTCATTCTTATTTCTTTCACTATCTACCATTCTCACCTGATCCTAACTCTATATATATATATATATTACAATGACGAGCACAAAAAATTACATCATAATATCCAAAATTAAAGATGGAAGTCCCATAAATCATGTCGATGTGTTTCTAATCTTCCAACTGATGAACATGACAATCAAACTCCTATTAATAAATTATTCAAATTTTCCTAATCAATGTAGAATCTGAACATGAAATACTAAACCAATAGAGAGAAAAGCTAAAAAAAATATGATTGGATCTTAAGTACTTGAAATATATTGTATCATCAATTTAGGGGACAAAAAAGCAATCATGCCAGAATTCACTAACTAGACGATTATGGAGGCTTCTAAGTTTCCCAGATTCTCTTGTGGCAAGGGTTATCAAAGGTAGGTATTATCCCAATAGCAATCTTTTTGAAGCCAAGAAAAGAAACTCAGACTCATGGATGTGGAGAAGTTGGTTGAATGCCAGAGACTCCTTGAAGAGAGGGGTGAGATTCAAAATAGGGGATGGCAAATCAATTGACATCTGGAAAGACCCTTGGGTTCCTAACCTATCTCAGTTCACACCATCTTGCCACTCCAGCAGAGATAGGGAGGAACTCAAGACAGTCAGTGATCCTTTCTTGACAGGTAAAAATAAGTGGGATAAAAAGTTGGTGAGGCAAACCTTCAATCCCTATGAAGCAGAGGAAATTCTGAGCATCAGGTTGAGTTTGTTTGCAAATAAAGACAAGTTAGTTTGGCACTTTGGAGTGAATGGGGAGTTCTCAGTCAAATCCACTTATGAGACAATAGTAGCTAAGATGGAAAGAGATACATCAAAGGTGGGCCCTAGCTGCTCTAATGGCCAGGTGGAAAAAATGTGGAAAAGACTTTGGAAGTTACCAGTGCCACCAAAAATGAAAAACTTTATGTAGAGATTGTGTCATGGGTTTCTGGGAACAAAAATAAATCTGCAGAAGAAAGGGATGAGTATGGACACAATTTTCTCTATTTGTGGAGAGGCTGAGGAGGACATTGACCACCTCTTTGTGCAATGCTCAAGGGTGCAGATATGCTGGAAGTTGATTGGTGTTCATTGGGATGCTATGATAGGTGAGCAAGCCAGCATTAAGGCCTGGTGGTCTGAGGTATCCTCAGGTTCCAAGTCAAAGGCTCTAACTGATAGGTTGGTATTATCTGTACATCTCCTATGGAAGGTATGGAAGGCCAGAAATAATAAGTGCTTCAGGGGTGACCAATTTAATGAGCTTAAAGTGGTGGTAGAAGCTATAAGGGACTGGCTAGAGATAAGGCAGGATAAAGTAGAGGAAGGGTGTGAGTTAGTTAACTCTATCCATCCCACAGGTAGACAAGATGAGCAGTTTTTTCTTGGAGTAGGTTATGTATGTTTGCATATCAGTGCCCTATCCTCATTCTTAGGTACAGTGGGAATTGGAGGAGTGGCTGGGTCAGGAAATGAAGTGATAAAGAAGTGGCAGTGTTCCTGGGATGGTGTTACTTCAGAGAGTGATGGACTGCTGTTGGGGGTGAGATGGATACTAGACCTAGCATGCAAAGAAGGATGGAAGAAGGTGGTTTGCTATATTAACTCACCAAAGCTGGTAAAAGACTTGCAGGCAGGCTCCAATCAAGCAGTTCTAGGTTATGACCCTGTAGTTTTTGAAGTTGTTTGTAAACTCTTGTTGTTTGATGACTGTATTTTCAGTATTCCTAGCTTAAGTTGTAGTGATAGTTTGGCTTTAGCCTTGTCGGCTATGGAGGGGGAGCATTCTAATGCCTTCCCAATTTCAGTCTAATTTACCAGTTGGATTAGACTTAGTGTTGTAATTCTCGGATTGTATGTTGGTTGTGAGTTTACTGCATTTGTTCGTTTGGAAAAAAAAAAAAGACGATTCATTCCCGATTGTCTCTATTTTTCAAATTAGAAATTTCAAGCAAGTGATATGGACAAACTAACTTCCAACTAGAAAATGAATCAAAATAACTTGAACTCAATCAACCTAACTGTGATTGGAACACCCCAATTTTCTATTGAACCAGGCACACCTCGAAGCTCGGGGATCTAAGATAAGTAGAAAGCAAAAACAAAGATCAACTAACCTTTAATTCTAACATCAACTGCAATTTATGGATTTTGATTACCGATAGAGTCAGACAAGTTAACATAGGCTACTCGTGAATCGACATTCGGATGAATGGTGATAAATGGAGGATTTCAAATTACTCGCATCTTGCGAATTTGAAAAGGCTCATCAATCTGAAAGTAAGATTAAATGTGATTTAATGGAGGATTCACCTTGTGGAAGATTTGCATTGAATATCGATTTGGATTTGGAAAGAGATCTGCGATGTAATTCCCTTCGAAAAGCTTAGCTCGTCAATGCTAAAGTTGTATGGTTTTTTCCAATTTTTTTGTTTCAATTTAGAATTGTCCATAATGCCCTTATTTTACTGATTGCTTGACATTGGTTGGATGCAAGATATCTAGTGGTTGAGAATTATTTTTATTTATTTCATTATGGAGCGGATTCCTATATATATAGATTATATATAAATAGACTTAGAAGCTTTAGCTTGCCTATCAAGCAAATTAATTTATTGAATTTTCGCCTAGTTTCTATCAAAACTGAAAGCTTGATTAAGACTTTTTTTCTCGGCAAAATTGGTGGAGGCCCTTTTTTTTTTGAAAAAACACATTACCCTTCTTGATATATAAGCATGAAATAGCTGCTAAGTTAAAATTGAAACTGGCACAAACAGACCACAAAGATTACCCAAATCTGCAAACGAATCAGTTTGGACTTTGGAATAATTTGGTTCAACCCCGTTACTCAAAACAAAGGAGGCCAAGAACTTGTACCAAAAATATAATATGAAAAATAAAGATCGTGATCATAAAAGGAAGACTGTAAACAATGTCTTCAACCAATCACCATGGTACAAAAAATCTGAAAAGATGCACCAATCCACTAAACAATATACCAAACCATAGCTAAACTCCGCCCTAAAACATCCACTTATTCCAGGTTATCATATAAATCACAGAAGTGGCACATAAAACGTCTGAATAAATCAATCCAAGGACAAAATCGAAACATATGATGCTACTAGAAAAAGGGAAAATAGCACGGAGGCCCCCAATTTTGAGGAATTTGCATCTGAGGAACCATCTCCGGTTGTTGGCACGTTTTGTGATCCAGCCCCTGCGTCAAACATCAAAGCCGGCCAGTGTAAAATTCATTATCAGCACCTTCATCTTATGGTTTTAAGAATTCAATAAATTATGTAAAAATGTAGTACAAAAACATCACACCTGAATTTGTATTGGGAGAAGTCGATGTTGAAGCAGGGGCGCCAGATGGAGAAGCAGCTGCAATTTCAAAATTGGGGGTTTTTTGTTACACTAGTTTACCCTCACTTGTTTAAATTGTAATTAGATCCCACTAAATGGTAAGAAAATATATGGACATGCAATTTGTAAAACGAAAGAAAGGAGAATTTTGAATTTGAAGCAGGTGTTAGTACCGTTGCATCGGCTGATTGGTGGTGTCTGGACATGGCAAGCTGCAGGGAGGGCGAGAGCCCGAGTTTGGTTAATGTTGAGGCCCAAATTAGTAGCAGCGCCGTTGAGCACTTGGCAGAGGCACTGCGGATTGGACCCCACAACAGTGCTCAGCTGGGTGCAGCAACCAGCGCTCGGGGCTGAGGAGGAGCTGCTGGAGATGTAACTCAGGCACGGCGACAAGCTTATTAAGACGTTGGTGCAATCGCTGGATTGGGCCTCCGCGCCTGTCCAGAAAATAGTGACGAGCCCAAGTGCTAGGCCCAATGAAACATGTCGGTGAGCCATTNGTTAGAGGCTGGCTAATTCTCCCTAGGAAGCAAAACAAGAAGAAATAAAACGACATATAAACATTTTAAAAGACTTTTTCCTTTGTTATGTTGTTGTTTTTCGCCTCCTAGATATTATACGGTGGAGAAAATGAGGACATTTGGAGATTTGTTAGTTATGTGGGTGAGCTATCTAATTATAGTGCGACCGAATAATTCGTATTTTCAAAGCGATAAGTAGAGAATATCAAATTAAAACATAGCATGTGAACGCATGTAATATTCGGTCGTTTTTGGTATTGCATGCATTATTTCAATATCAAAATATCAAAATATATACCGAATTATAGTACAAGTTTGGTAGTGCACTATTTATCTGTTACTAATCTACAAGTATACAGTACTAGGAGTACAACAAGGGTGTTAATAAAAAATATTATATTAAAAATATTATATGTATAACAATCTATATATGTTGAAAGAGGTTGATGGAACAATCTAAATAAGTAACGTTAATTTTGTAATTAAATGGGTTGACTTATTCTTAAAGAAAATATTGTAAAAAGTACTTTAATAACTATTAAAAATTAAAAATCAAATTATACGGACTGTTGTAAATTGTGCAATGTCGTTAATAGCACGATTTTATATATAAATAAAGTGGTATCCATTTTAAAAATTATGTTGTGATAATTATCACAATAAAAATTCGATTTTTCATATTAATTACTAATCACTGAAATTTCTTATTATTTTGTAATAAACCATACACTATGTCTTCAAAAAATCATCTATCAAATATATCTTTTCAGAAAATATTATTTGAATATGCATGATAAAATTTTAAATATAATTACAAAACAAAAATTAAAATTAATTATGAAAATTTTATTATGATATTTATCACAATGTTACAATAGAATCTTATTTATTAACATTAATAACAAATCACAGTAATTTCTTATTCATTTGGTAACCAATCATATACCAAAATATTTTTTATCCCATCTTAAAAAAATATTTAATCAAGAGAATTAGTTTAGAATCTTTTGATTTATCAATAACTCAACTGGTTCAGTTTTTCAGAAATTGTAAACGCAATTTTCCACATCAAAAGAAATTTAACTATTTAATTTTACTAGTAAATCAATCTCTATTCTCAATAACAAATCATGCACTCTCCTGTTTTGTTGGGCATCCAATCATATGTAGATCGAACTATGCGTGAGAACATTGCAAAATATAAGTACAAAATTAATTTAAAAATCAATTCAAAAATTTTATTAATGTAACTAGCACAATAATACAATAGAATTGATATCTTAACATTAGTAAGAAACTCTTCCGATTTTCTATTCATTCATTAACGAGTCATATATCAAAAATCATCTATTCAAGGAGTTCAAATATTTTTTTTAATTTTATCAATAACTGCACCGACTAAGGTTTTTAAAAAATCATATTGTGATTGACAATATCATATCAAATCTCGTATAAATTAATAAATTTTAAATGAAAATTAAAATATTTATAATATACATTATTAAAAGTTATAATAAAAAAATAAAATAATATTTTCGTAACTAAAAATTATTAATTTTTTAACTTCAAAATAATATATGTTGCAGTCCTTTTCAATCAAGTATTGGTTATAATATTGGGTTAATTGCAATTAAAAACTCAACCTTTAGTAAAATTGCAAATAAAACTCAACTTTTTCAATTTGGCATAAAAATACTCAACCTTTAAAAAGTTTTGCAATTGTGTCTCGAAAGAAGATTTCGGTTAATCGATGTTGAGGTGGCATATCGGAAATCTGACATGGACACAGAATATTGACGTGGCCAAAAAAAATTTTTACACTCAATGACACGTCATTTTACACGTAATGCCACGTCAAAGCCTCTTAACAGATATAATATTCCCCAATCTCATGCCCGATGAATCAGAAAAAAGAAAACAAAAAACTTCACTGATTGCATATCCGCAAGCACCTCCGATAGCGAGCCTCCGTGAACAGATATGCCACAATCCCTTTCGTCGGCGTACTCGTACATCCCCGCCAGCTGCCACCGTCGCACAAATAGCGCGTCCCAATTGCAGTCAGGTCGAACTTCCCTTTTCCGATGCAGATCCCACTTTTCGATCTGACCTCCACCGAAGGCCGTCGATCGCCGGCGTTCTCGTACATCCCCGCCAGCTGGCACCGTCGCATAAATCGCGCGTCCCAATTGCAGCCGGGCCGAATTTCCTTTCTGATGCAGATCCCGCTTTTCAATTCACTACGCCAAAAAAGGCTTCAGATAGCGCTTATTTTTTGCTACAGATAACGCTTTTAAGCGTTATCGGAATCAATGTTATCTGAAGATCGATTTTTCAGATAGCGCTTCAAAAGCGCTATGTGAAGAACATTTCACATAACGCTTTTTTAAAATAAGTGTTATGTGAAACGCCCTTTACATAACGCTTTTTTATGCTAAGCGTCATGTGAACAACCCTTCACATAACGCTTTTTATGTTAAGCGTTATGTGAAAGGTCCGTCAATAACGCTTTTTATACTAAGTGTTATGTAAAAGGTTCTTCACATAACACTTGTTTATATTAAGTGTTATCTATAATATTAATCAGATAACATTTTTTAACAAAAGCGTTATCTGTGTATAATATTTTTTTTATATATATATATATATATATATTTTGTTCTCAAATACCTATACCAATAAACAAGAACCAGATAACTTAAATCATAACCCCATAAACAACGGCACAAGAACCAACATGAAAACAACATAAACATGAATATAACAAACACATTCCACTAACTTTAACATTGTGCTAGTGTATGTACAAGAGAATACTGTAACACAAAATCATGAAAGAATCTCCAATTCCAATAAATTAATAAAAAAGACTAATATTCCTAGTAAGAAATTCGACCACCATTAGCCAATAGCCTGACCAAACAATTTCTTATTGCAACCTCCTGCATCGCAAAATTATACATATATTGATATCAAATTTAAGTCATTCATCACATATTATAAACAAAATATAATAGAAAATGTAATAGGAACATAACAAAATACATACCTGTTAAGTAGGAAGAGAATGCACATGTATCTGCCAGATTTAAAAATTGAAAAGAAACATCACAATCATTATCTATTAATTATATTTCGTAATAGATTTGAAATTTAACACAACAATAACAAGAAACGAATCGACATTAGTAGAGTTTTTATCTTACACAACTCTTAATAACATATTGTGCCCATTCTTCCCGAACTTCATCTACTTGCTCCTCAGATAATTGAACACACTTGTAACTAGGAAAGTACTACAAAATATAACATTATTAATTACATTTTAACCAAAATAGCAAAAAATAAGTAGGTAATGGAATGACAGGAAAATGAGATTAAATTCATTTACCTCATCTGGGATAGTCATTTCATCAGAAATAATTATGTCTTTAACAAATTTCAAAACATAATACCCACAATCCACACTGTTAGCTTGTTCGGGACACTAAAAGAAACAAGTATTTGTTAGTACGTACATATATAGATCAACATCTACTACAAATAACATGTTGAAGTACCTTAATATTTTTCCATCTCAAGTGTTTTGATTTTTTGAGGACCATCCCGACTTGAGCCCGAAAAACTCGTAATACGCTAGTAAAAACAGAAAGACCATAGAGTTACTAGAAAAAAAACAACAAAAAACAAATACACCATAACAACCACATATACTTACGTGTTAAACACATCTGTCATATGTTTATCAGGATCCTTGCGCATAGGATCTAAATAATATATCGTCTCTGCCTTCAAATTAATTGCCAACAACACCCAATGGACCCTATAAAAAAAGTAAACATTTGATATTGCATTTAGTATTAGGTTTTATGTATTATTGACAATATATATATATATATATATGTATATACAGAAGAAGAGTATTACGATGTATTATATGGCGCAAGAATCAACTTATCCCTTGCATTATTTTCATCAAGCAAATCAACAATGGATTTCATCTGCTCCTCTTTTTTAAGTAGAAAGCTTGTTACATGGGGGGATAAGAAGAAGAACCTCTTTGATAATTGCTTACGGACCATAAACGTCTCGTACAAGTATCTTAAATAAACATAAAAAAGATTATTACTTGCCAAAAGAATATATCAAATCGACATACAAAATTAACCAATAAAAGTCAGAATGGTACCTGATATATGTACAGACAGCAGAGACACCAATCCACTGATGCATAACAACATGATTTATTTCATCTACACCAAGCTTCTCTTCAAATGATACACCAAATATCTCTTTGGCCATCATTATGCTTGGTAATAAATCACCAGGTCTCATGAGCAATTGGACATGCATGGTAAGATAGCTACAGTATGACCCGTTCCTCGCAGTACCAACTTCATTAGATCCTTTTGTATGTTTTTCTTCCCCATTCCTTTTTGGAACGTTAGAGTTCTTTGTTCCCTTATTCTGGGGATTTTCTGAGATCTTTATTTTTTCCAAGTGTAATAAATGATATACATATACTATATATAAAAAACAAAAAACTAGATTTATTGGTTTGCACATACCGATTTATTTACAAAAACGAGATTCTTTGGCCACACCACAAAAGTGCCTATTGCATCCCGAACTGTTATCAGTTCTTCATCATCAACAGGCACAGGCAACAAGGCATTTGGCTCGAAAGCAACCTCAAGACTAACTTTCACATGGTCAATTGGCAACGGTCTGGTGTGTATTGTTTCACCAAGACGGTTGTGCACTTTGCCACGACCAACCGCGCGATAAGTCGGTGATGATAGATAGACATTACATTCCGAAAACCCCTAAGAATACAATGATGAAATAACAATATAAAAGAAAAGAAACATCGTCAATTATGAATTAATTGAGAAATCAAATACCTCTGGAATAATGTTAGGTTCAGTGTTTGAACTTTGTTTATCCTCAGCATCCACAACATTATGAATAGCATTTTTTTCTCGACTTTTATCCAAGGTGACAACATTCTTTGTTTTCTCAGTCTGCTTGCCAATACTTTTCGGGTTTTCCGGGATCTACAACATATTTTATTTTCAATTGTATCAACTAAAAAAATATTAATTTGACTATAGAATAAAAAAGGGAAGCGGTCATATGCTTCAGAATCAATAAAACAATAAAGAAAAAAAAATACATAGAAGGATAAAATAGAAGAAAAAATGTAAAATAGCTAAAAAAATAAAAGTGGAATATCATGTTTTCAACTACCTCGTGAATGTTGTCACTACAACTTGGGGCGCAATTCTCGTTACCTTCAAAGCCAGACAAATCAGGTTGTGTCTCTTTTGCATTGCTACCATAAATTTTCTTTTCCATTTCTTCAAGCCGCGCCACAACTGCGTTTAGATTATTTTTTAAACTTTGCACTTCATCATGTTTGACACGCTTTTTTGGAGGAAAACAATCTTTTCGAGATACCCCAAATCCAATCCCCCTAACACGGCCAGGATACTCTTTGGCATTTATAGCTTGAGAAAGTATATCCAAATGGACATTTCTTTCAGCATCCTCGTCTGATAGGCCTTGTGCAAGGTTCTCCTAAACGATACAAGAATAATTTACAAACCTTTATATCGTCATCATTATTATTATCATATTTTAACGATTAACGAAAATAAGTAAAAGATCATTAAACTCACACATTCGTTCCAAACTTTTTGGACATTTTCATTTTCAATTATTCCGTCTTTGTTGACACGAGCAGCTTTCGACACCTTGTGACACGGAAGACGTTTAACCTCCAATCCAGACTCTTTTATCTATATATTAAAGCATTCAAGATATATTTTCAGTGACAGAGCATTATAAACAAACATAAAAAGACATAATCAGATACACACACTCATTCCTACACACACATATATATAAGTGTGTGCATGTGTGTATATAAATGCACTCTACCATTTTTTGCTCAAGTCGTGCATATCCCATACGTGAAGCTCTATATGGATACAATGGATTTGACGCTCTTTGTCGATTTTGATTGCTTATTTCCTGGTCAATACATTTTGATAATTTCAAAATATGCATAAATTTAAATGTATTGTCACTAATTTGTTAAAATGTCATGCTTACCTGGAAAGAAACGTCAACACGTTTTTCCACAAAAGTTTTCCATTGCTCTTTAGTTATCATGCGTGCATAGCATGACGGAGGATGTTTATTTATATTTCCTTCAGCATCTTTCAAAAAGTCCCTTGTCAATTCTGATCTGAACCTTCTGTGAAGTTTTCCTGCTTCTTTCATTACAAATCTACGGTGCTTTTCCCCGATTTCAAAAGTCTCCTGCAAGGATTTACTTATCAACAATGATAATGTTTTTCATACTAATAAATGTATTTGTTTAAACTAATGAAAATATTCACAAATTAGATTCAACAAAAAAATACGCACCAGTAAAATATTCCAAATGAGATCCTTGAATACGTCTAAGTCCTTATTTCTCCAATCATCAATTGTAATTGGAATATTCTCACGAGCTACATTCCCAATAGTGCTGATAAACATCGACCCATAAGGCTCAATTGGCTGACCCAAATCATTCCAATTCACCTAGTATAGAATAAAATGTTGAATTTATATCTAACTATAAGAACTACTAAATTATTGAATAGAGGTTCCACAAAAACTTACCTTAAATTTTATCCCTTTATTTCGGGCACGAATGACTTTTTTCATTACAATCGTTCGTGAACGAGTCTTAGCAACTACATCTTCATCAAAATGAGAATCATCACTTTCTAGATTCTCCATTTGACCTGCAAAAATTTTTAAGTGGATAGATAAAAAAAATTACAAACATGGCCGGAAAAGATGTGATGGAAGAAAAAAGAAAAAGAAAAAAAGAAAAAAAATTGTGAATAATTTATTTATATTAATTTTTTTTCTATATATGTTATGTTACTATGGATAATCTCCCAATTTTTTAGATAAAAATAAATGGTAGTATGTAATACTCCTCAATGCTACTACTCAATCTGAAAGTTTCCTAATTAGCTCCAAACTCACTAGGATCTCATCAATTTTATAAGGAAAAGTTTTGCAATTATACACGTTGTCCAATTTTCCAACCCAAAGCTATGTGTGATCTACATATACTTGCTAAAATCCTGGTACGTTTTTCTTTTCATTTTTTTTTTCACAGCTTTCACACTGATGAAAAACACATGACTTGTTGGCCTGTTAGTTAGTAGATGTTAGAAGTAATAGATGCAGGTCTGGGAAGTGGGAAACTGCAAGGATAATGGGTAGAAAAGCTAATTTATTTTTACAGTTGGGTGAATTTCTATAATTTATTTTTACGGTTTTGATATATATGTGTGAATTTTTATATATAATCTATAATAATGTCATATAAATGATCAATTCAGAAAAATGACTAGTCATAATGTCAAATCTTATCCTAAAACTTGATCAATCTATTTATTTAAAAGAAAAAAATTGTAATATGTTGTACCTCAATAGGCTTATATTATTGTCTTTTATTAAAATTTGAAGATTTGCACCTTAAAAAGTTTTTTGTCCATGATATAGAATTTTGATATCTCTCCCCAAGGATATATGAAAATTTGGCCCATAATTGATACAATCTTAAAAGTGGATAACATAATCCCAAGAAGAGGTGTAAGTACAAATCAATATACAAACTGTAACTTAAATACTCAACATGGCCAAGTGATTGTGCAAAATGTACAAAAAGAGAGTTTACATACCTAAAAGCAGCTCCAATTACAGCTATCCTTTTAGCTCCCTTTAACAGATGAATCTGAAATTGTAAAACGAGTATCAATATCCAGCAGAAACAATATATAAGAAAAAAATGACAAACATGCACATATGGAGATAGTATTCGAGATATGATAAGAGTTTACCTGTGTTAATTTATAGCTAATCTTTTTCTCTTCTTATTCGAACTCACAATTTTTTGTCTCTTATTAATATGAAATGACGGATTGACCCAAACCCCCTCATTGTGATCATCTCTCATGTACATAGTATCATCTATGGATGGATCACTATTGGGTGGTTGTGATGTATAGCAAAATGGATCGTCCTCAAACATTAAATCTTCATGATTCTCGTCAACATGTTCAACTATTTTATTGGTTAACAGCACAATAGACCATTTACAATCCGAAGGATCAGTCACATAGAATACTTGTTGAGCTTGTGATGCTAAAATAAAGGGTTCATCTTTGTATCCCACCCTATTAAGGTCCACTTGCATAAACCCTGCTTTATCCATTTGAGCACCAGTATTATTGTCAACCCACTTGCAACCAAATACAGGAACTCGAAATTTTGTGTAATCTAACTCCCATATACGTTCAATTACACCGAAGTATGACATATTTGCATATGTTGGAGTCCTATCTTTAGCACTTGAGATATGCATGGACTTGGCAACCAATGTAACCCCACTATTTTGCATAGTACTCTGACCATCTTGCTCTTTTGTATAATATGTGCATCCATTTATCATGTAACCTTTAAAAGAACATGCATGTATGCTAGGGCCTTTCGCCAACCACTTCAACCTTTCAGATATTGATGCTGAATCTACAGCTAATGATGCAAAAATGTGATTTTTTAGCCAAGATATGAAGTTTTTATTGTGTTCCCTTGTTACCCAACTCTCATTTCTATTTGGATTCGCATATTTAAGTATATCCTTGTGACGTTGGACATATGGCTGTACCTCATCGTCATTGTGTAAGACATACAAATGTGCCTGATCCCAATCTAGCGATGGTATGGTCACTATTTCATTTCCAATGATTCCTTCTCCTGTTGTTCTTCCTAAGTGTCGAGACCTCGGTATCCCAACTGTTTCAGTGTTGCCAAGATATTGACCACAAAACTCGATTGCTTCTTCCATAATGTAACATTCAGCAATACAGCCCTCTGGTCGGCTTCGGTTTTTCACGTATCCCTTTCGCACTTTCATGAAGCCTTCAACCCTATACATCCATCTCATATAAGAAGGTCTACATAACTGAGTCTCTTTAACTAAATGAACAGTCAAGTGAACCATAATGTCAAAAAAAGACGGTGGAAAATACATCTCGAGTTCACATAATGTGACAACTACCTCCTTCTGTAAAGAAGGTAATTTTCCGGGGTCAATCACCTTATTGCAAATCGCCTTGAAGAAAAAGCACAACTTAGTTATTGTCCACCGCACCTTTTCAGGCAAAACTGATCGAATAGCTATCGGTAACAAGTGCTCCATTAAGATGTGACAATCATGGGACTTCAACCCCTTTAGCTTAAGGTCTTTCATAGATACCAAGTTCTTGATATTTGAAGAGTACCCTTCCGGAACTTTAACTCCATCAAGAAATTTACAAATTGTAATTTTTTCATTCCTACTGAGAGTATGAGATGCAGGAGGTAGAAAATGGCGTGTGCCCTTCTTTATAGGTCCCAACTCCGTTCTTATACCCATATTAACTAAGTCCAACCTAGCATTGATGCCATCTTTGGATTTTCCTGGCACATTCAGCAGTTCAGGGTAGTCATGGTCAATTTTCGTCCACTGAGGAGAGTCTGCTGGATGCCTAATCATTCCATCTTTACACCTTTCATTCGCGTGCCAAATTAAGTGCTTTGCATTTTCAGCACTGTGGTACAAACGCCTAAATCGTGGTATTATAGGGAAATACCATAACACCTTCGCTGGAGATGATCCATTTTTCCTATATCGTTGGGCGTTACACTTGGGACACGACTTTAAAGAGGAATATTCCTTTCGAAATAGAACACAATCGTTCGGACAAGCATGTATCTTCTCATAACTCATGCCAATGGAGGATAACATTCTTTTGGCTTCATAAGTTCGACCAGGAAGAACATTATTGATAGGAAGCATATCTTTTAATAGCTTTAATAAATCAGTGAAGCTCCTGTCGGACCAACCACTATTAGCTTTCAAATTATATAACTTCAGGACAGCAGATAATCTTGTGAATTTAGTGCAACCATCATACAATGGTTTATGAGCATCACTTACCAATCTATCAAACATCTCCGGACAATCACGAAGATCATCTTCGACCATATTCGCTATCTCATTAAGTTGGTCAGACTCATAATCCACATCTGCATAGCGGTTACTTGTTGAATAATTCACATTATCTTTCTGATCAGGACATTGTTTTCTCATCTCACCATGCTTAGTCCAACAAGTATAACTTTGATCAATTCCATTGCATATTAGATGATCGACCAAATCATCTACACCTATCTGTTTAGAGTAACAACAATCTAGACAAGGGCAGGTGATTTTATTAGAATATTCTGCATGTGCAACAGCAAATTTAACAAATTCTTTCACACCGTCCTCGTATTCTTTTGACAATAGACTGGCAGACATCCATTTTCGATCCATAGCTTCTTGATCTAATAAATTATTAAGTACAGTTATTTTGGTAAGTGAGAAATTAACATCAATCTCAAAATAGACACGAAGAAAATAAACCTATAGTTCCTATAGATGATAAGCTCATAGGTCTAAATTTGCATATATACTTACAAAAATAAATATATATCCACTTATATTTATCGATTTAAAACAGAAAGAGAAAAATGAATTACCTTTTCTATCAGTGAGACAAAATCTTTTCGATGCTTGTTGAGACTACAGTCAAAATTAAATAATGTAGAAGTTATATATTCGACTTTCAAGTATAAGGGAAAACTATAAGACCTAAAACCGTTATGAGAAGAAGAATAAGACGAAGAAAAGTTGCATTATAATGTTGTCATTTACTACATATGCAACGAACATGACATTTAATAAAAAAATAAATATTGAAATAAGGACCAAATGAACAAAGCCATTTGTTATCAAACCTTTCAGAAAGCAAACAAATATTTGCACAGGGACATACACATACATTACATATATATATATATATATATATATATATATATATATATATTATATATGTTATATGTTATTAATAATATATGCTAACAAATTATTGTCTTGCACATGGAGATTGTGTGGTCAGCTTTAGACTTTCTGCAACACAAGTGCTGATGTTTTGCGTGCATGTACCAAATTCCTTTACTATAAAAAGTTCAGAAAAATTAATTGGCTCATATATATTTAAATGAATGTACCATGGAAACAAACCAGGCTCTACAGATTTGCTGGAATAAAAAAGGCTATATCAGTAGAGATAGCAAATAGTAGTAGCTGCTATCGACACATTAATACCCATTGGCTAATCAGTTTCTTTAATTTCTATGTCACATTTTCTTGAGGGAAATTTATACTCGAGAAGCATGAGTTGGTTTTCCTACTCAGGATAGTCTCCATCTGTTTTTATTTTGCTCAAAACAAAGGATACCCTGAATTAATAACATATGTATTTAATAACCTCATTTTAATATTTTAATTTCCCCAGGATCCGCTGTTGGAACTAGTCTCCATCTGTTGTACAAACACGATTTGATAGCTAGTGTAACTTTGATTGAGATCATAACCTTTAACACAGAGAAATGTACTGGAGCTTTAGTGTGTGAAATATTCCACCTTATAATTTGTTAAAAATAGTTAAAAACCTATACTCGTAACCTTTGAGTAAAAAACAAATAGTTAACATGATTACTGATTCGGTGATTCTAATTTATCCACAAATTGAATCAAATCACATGAAATCTACTCTTCAAAGAGTAGCATAAACTGAACAATAAAATAAACATAACTGCATCAAGAGGCGACATACGAATGCAACAAACGTAAA